CTCCAATGGGCATCCGGCTCTAGTCAAAGACTCTTTAGGAAAGCTTTTTTTTTTTGCTTGCTTTCCAAAGAGACATCCTTCACAAAGGTGGCTCGAATGATCAATAGTTGGAAATCCATTCACCATGCTTTCTTTCTTCATCAACTTTAGACTATCAAAATTCACATGACCAACTCCATATGCCAAAGCCAAAATGAATCTTTGGCACATGAAAACAAACACCTCGGAACATCACTTTGAAGGTTCAAAACAAACATTTTATTATTATACATAGGAATTTTGGCTAACAATCTCCCATTTTCATCTCTCATAAATAATTTTTTATCTTTCATATGAATATTATAATTTTTTTTTCCAAAAGCTATCCCAAACTTAAAATATTACTTCTCATCTCTAGTACATACATAATATTAGAAATTAATTGGTGACTGCCATCTTTCAAACGAATTAAAATCGCTCCTTTTCCTTTGATTTTAACCTGCGAAGAGTCTCCAAAAGTGAGGTTGCCACCATTAAATTATTCAATCTCCACAAATAAATTCTTTTTTCCACAAATATAGCTACTTGCACCAGAGTCAAGGTACCATTGATTTCTCTTTACACTTTCTTCTGCTTTGCAAGCGACAACTGAAATGCCATCTCCATCTTTATTTTTGCTCTCCATAAAATTATTTTTTCCCTCCATATTATTTTTATATTCCCAAAAAAATGACCAAATTTATGGCAAATATAACATTCAATATCAGACTTAACATACCTTCCTTGATTTTGCCTCCATCCTTTACCTCTTTCACGACCTCTTCCTTGATTAGAGTCTTGACACCTATTTTCTTCATTTGGTGGTTGGCTACCACCTCTTCCTTTTTCACCATGACCTTGTCCATGTCCACCACCTCTTTGTTACGAGCCATGCCTTTTATCTTTCTCCTTGAAAGAAAGTTTTGCTTGCAATGCTTGTTCAACCGATTCTTCTTTTGGTTTCTTCAACGTTTTTTCATGTGCTTGCAAAGAACCCTTGAGTTCTTCAATGGTCATCGTATCCAAATCTTTGAACTCTTCAATAGCCACAATAATATAATTAAATTTTTAATCAATGGACCGTAGTATTTTTGCAATGACCCTATCATCAGTTAAGTCTTCACCATATCTCTTTGTTTGATTGACAATAGCCAAAACTCTTGAAATATAATCTGAAACAGATTCGGATTCCTTCATATGCAATGATCCAAACTCTACTCTCAAGGTCTGGAGACGAACTCTTTTTACTTTAACCTTTAAAGGAAGCTTGAAGAATCTCTCATGCTTGCTTTGAGGTGGTTGTATTTGCACCCTTCTCAAACATCTTGTTATCCAAATTTTGATGGATGAGAGTGAGCGCCTTTTGATCTTTCTTTTTAAAGGAAGCATCATCTTCCGCTCCATCACCTCCGACTTTCACTGGTTCCCAAACATCATAGGCACCAAGCAAAGCCTTTATCCGGATACACCAATTTTCATAGTTCTTTTTTGTGAGCATAGGAACTTGAAATGGAGTTCCATTACTATTTTTTATTTTCTCTCCAAGTTTAGTTATTTCTCAAACACACTGGATCTGATACCATATGTTAGAAAATTTGGGAGAGTAAGACAACACAAATGAATACTCAGAACTCACAAAGAAGAAAGTGGAGGAAAGGATGATTTCTTGCAACTTGACTTACTCCAAATAGCTAGGAATACATGGCTATTTATAGGAGAAATCTTTCATGTATCTAGCCTACACTACATGTATATATAATAACTAAGTCCACACCTCACATCTTTCAAGGTACATGGATGATACTACTAGACATTGTATCTTCCAAAGTACAACAATATGTTCACACTCTAATACATGTACTAAATTAATATTATAGTTCATGAACTAATGTAAACAAATGGAAACAAGTTTACATTGTTCACATTTCAACATTATTGGCCCTATAATCCCGATTTTATGTTCAAGCTAGAGAAGTCTATTTATGGCCTTATACAGGCTCCTCGAGTTTGAAATAAATATTTGAATGATGCTCTGCATGAGCTTGGTTTCCAAGGCTCCAAAACAGATTCCTAACTGTTTTTTAGAAGCACATACACTGAAAGACCCTTTTATCTAATCTATATTGATGATATTATAGTCTTGGGCATTTGAATGTGTCTAGTTTCTTCATTGTTTTAACAGATGGGAATATGTTTCTCCTCGCGCGACTTGGGTAAGCTTAATTACTTTTTGGGTATTGAAGCTACTTGCTGATCTGATGGGTTGGTGTTGCATCAATTTAAATGTACACATGATCTCTTGGAACAGAGTAGCATGTTAACTTGCAGTAATACTTCTACTCCCATGTGCTCGAGTAATAAGTTGTATGCAAGTAATTATACTCAATTCCTTGATTATAGTCTTTATCAAATATCGTTGGGGGTTTATAACATCTCATATTCATTAGACCTGATATTTCCTTCTCTGTTAATAAAGTCTCTCAGTTCATGCATAGTCCCATAGAGAATCATTGGGCAGTAGTTAAGCGTATCTTGTGATATCTGAATCTACTTCCTCTTTTGGTATTTTCTTTACAAATTAGAACTCTCTCCATTTACAAGGATATTATGATTGTGATTGGGTAGAAAGTATAGATGATCAGGAGTCAACTACTAGTTTTTCGATTTTCTTCGGTTCGACGCTTGTTTCTTGGTGTTCTCGCAAACAACAATCTGTCTCTCGCACTTATACTGAGGTTCAATGTCATCCTTTTTCTGTTTCCACGAGTGAACTTCTATGGATTTGTCTATTGTTAAAAGAAGTTGGTCTGCCTTCCAGTTTAGTGCTGTTTGACCAAAAAGTGTAATTTTTGGTTAAAACAATTATATTTGTATAATAACAAGTTAAACCTTGTTATGATAATATCTCTAGATATGGATTCTAATAATATGGCTAATGTTTAGATAGATCTAGTAGAGAATCGACAGTAGAATTCAATATGTGTTTCGAAAGATATATGTAATAATGGAGAAGTAATTAGTAATAAATAACATTTAAGTAAATAGGAGAATTGGTTCACCCAATAAACAATGAACTTCGTCATTGTTCCTCCTGATAATAATGAGTGACAAACAAATCTTACAACATTTGAAATATTCTCGGATCTGATGGAAAAGTGTGAAACAATATAAGCAAGAATTTTGATAAAAAGGTAGTCTTTGTATCTTTACAAGAGAGAGAATCTTTTAGCAAAGTATGCTTTTATCACAAGGAATATCACATGCCTCTATTCATTAACTTTTTTTCCTATTTATATGGGACATACCCCAGTAAACCCTAGTAGTACAAGTGCAAAGAATATCTAATAAAATATTCTCTTTAATATCCTATTCTAATAAACTAGCCGTTACAACTCTTTTTGCGGGGCTCGACATCGGTCATCATTTTCATCTCGACCATGAGCCTCGCTATCTCCTAGTCGACCTCGGCTGACTCATTTCTCGATGTTACTTTGCCCTAAGTACTGAGATAGATTTTGACCTATACCGTTGGTCCCTCCGCTTATCAAAGCTGGCCTTAGGCAACCTTAATGAGCAGATTCTTTTATTATGGTTGGAAAAATTTGGATGAGCAAGTCGAGTAGTGATATTTCAGACGAGATGACAGCGTGACCATTCGTGAGCCACAACTTTCGGAGTCACATCACTTCTTCTTCAAAATGACATCATGCGTCATTATGGCATGTTTTTCTGATGTTTTGTGTCGTTTCCCATACATCTGTTGTTTCGGTACTAATGTTAGGTAATGATGGCTTGATTTTTCGATTTGATGCTTGAATACTTATAAATAGGGATATAAGGGTATTCATTCGTGTTTTGTGTATTCTTCATATCGAATCTATATGTCTTCTTCTCCTTACTTCATCATTGTGTGTCTACTTTCCTAGTTCTGGCGATTCTAGTTGCTTTTAACCCCTCTTCACTTAAATATCCCGTCTCTTGTTGGAATTATGGACAACGTGTTTTCTGGTCCTGGTGAGGGAAGTAGCCCTGTCCCTTTGGCAGTGCTTATGCCTCCTCACGCTGTGGGCGTTTCCGTTGCCATCGAGGATGAGAACTTTCCCACGGTGGAGGAGATAGTTCCTCGTGGTGAGAAAGTTAGGTCTGATTTTTTGAAATAGCCAGAAGATGAGCCGAAAGATTCTGAGTCAGCAATGAAAGAGGCCGACATAGTGGAGCTTAGGGTTAAATTCAACATTCGTGCTCGCATTGCTTTGGTTCCTGCCGAACGGGATGTGGTGCAAACCAACTGTCCCAGGTATTGCGCATTCTATGCTTACCCTTTTCATGTTGGCTACACTCTTCCCCTTCTCCTACTGGTGGAGGAGTTTTACCATTACCATGGCATTTTCTCGGCTCATATTTCTCCAAATATCTACAAGCTTATTAGGATGCTTACTAAATATGCAGAACTAGCCGGGGTCGAGGTCACACTCCAGCATCGGATGCATCTCTTCGCCCCTAGTTTCTATAGAGGGCAATGTTGAATCTTCGCCATCAAGGGGTCAAATGCTTTTTAGTAAAGATGGAAGACAAACTAAACCGCTAGTTCTGGCATAATTTCATCTTTGTCATAACTGAAGACATGGTGGCGAACGTGGACGGCTTTCCCGACTTGGAATTACACTCATAGCATTCAACCTTTCTTTGCTAAAACATTTGATTTGCTTGTTTCGGTCATAGATTCTGAATTTGGGTTCTCTTCTTATGCACCCAAGATTGTGCCTCCTTCTTTGGTCGGGGATATTTTTTATTAGGTTGGTAGAGTTCTCCCCCGTACTGTGGGAATTCGTGAGTGGTCGAGCTTTATCAAGAAGTTTAGGTCGGATCCTTCCTTGGCTAGTGAATTTATATATGTATTTTTGTTGTCTTGACCTCATGGTCGCCTACTTGTTGTAGTTTTCTATTGATGGTGGTGATAACCTTTGTTTTTTCTTTTTCAGCCCGAGGATCTTTGAGGAGGCCGAGGACTCCTCATCCTGCATTTTGTAAGAGGAAAGCTACCTCCTCTTTGGCATCTAATCCCACTGTAACTGCGTCCAGGCTAGCTTGATCATCTGCTTTTGTTCCTTCCTCAGCTGCCACCAGGTCTGCTCGGTCGTCGACCCCGTCTGTTGCTGCCTTGGTGTCATTTTCTTCTCGGCCTGTGAATACTTCGATAGCGGAGATTCTAACTTCCCCCCTGCACCGTCTTGTGGACAAGAAAGAGGAGGAGTTGCCAAGCAGCGGGATTTTGGTTCCCCATAAGAGAAGATCGATGCACGTCGTCTATGGGTTGCCCAGACTGTAGATTCGACAATGGATGATTTTTTCATCCGTGAAATGGCAACCATAAACTCAAGGATGATGTCGAGCCGTCGTCTAAAATTCCAACATTGGTGGGGACCATAGAGGGCATACCTCTTCCCTTTGCAGCGGTAAGAGCCAAAGGGTCGGCCACTGTGGTTTCTGATAATCTGCTGCAAGATGTGCCATCGACTTCGCAGCCGGCTACCGATTCTCTTTTGTTGGTCGAAGGGAGAAAAAGACGTTGTCGGGGATGGATATGAGACGAGTTTTGATCTCAATGCTGATGAAATAAGGATGATGGAGGAGGGGTTTACCCAACTTTAGGTGAGATTGGAGGGGTCCACGCGGACCATTGCAATTCCCATGGACAGTGAACTTTTGAAAAACACAGAAAACGTGGTCCCTTCTCTTGGTCCTCTTTGTTCTGACGTGGAGGGTGTAACCTTTGCGGTGTTGGATAACGCCACCTTATCGAGAAGCATAGTCGGCCTCGCTCTCTGGGTAAATTTTCAAGGCTTTTTTTTCTTACCTTCTTTATTCAGTTTTCTGATCTATCTCCGTGCTTCGTCTTTGTTGACGGAGACGTTCTTATGTTTGACTTTTTCTTTTTTGTGGTTGTAGACCGTGATTTTGGAAATTGAAAGTGCTCGAAGAGAGGAGAGGTGCAAGGATATTTTTATGAAGTTACGGCGAAAGTACCGCGAGCACCGTGATAAGCATTGGGAGATTTGTAGGTGGTTTGGTGAGAACGGCAATTTCCAGGCTCTCTGAGATGAACTGAAGGAGAAATATGACGAGCTAGTGAGGGTCATCTAAAAATGCAGCATTCTTGAGGAGACACTAAGAAATAAATAAGAAGAACTTGAGGTTAGTAGGGGGCCGAATCCAAGTATGGCGATCTCCAAGCCTAGGTGGTCTCACTATGCACCGAGCTTGAGGAGTGTCAACTCAAAGCAGATACTTTAAGTGGCTAGGTCACTGAGAAGGCAGTGGATCTTGAGAAGGTGGAGTTAGCTCGGGTGAGGGCTATGAGAAAGGTGGAGGCTTTCGAGATCGTGATCCGTTTTCTCCGTTCCGAACGAGAGAGTGCCTTAGAGGCAGCCAGGCTCAAAGAAGAGCGATTTGATGAACAGATTGGAGAATTAGAGAAAGAGGCTTCTGGCCTTTGTGATCGAGTCACCGCTCTAGAGGCCAAGAAGGCCCAATTACTGGATCGACCATCCTCTTCCCGCACTTCTTATTTCCCTGATATTCCCCGAGATTTTTACAAGGAGTGGATTTATGTCGAGGCCTAGCTGGATATATTTAGAGATCTGATGAGGGCATGAATAGTTTCAGAAGCCATCTTTAAAGATGCTCGTGTTAAGGCACGTGGAGCTCGGGTCACTTGTGGTTATGATCCTGCTACACCAGATGCCAGTGACGATGAGGGAGATGCAGGCATAGACCGAATTGAAGAGGATGCCTGGTACGAGGATGAGTATCCTGAGGGCGATGGGGATGGCCTAGGTGATCAAGCCGATGGCATTGCTGGTCTTGGTGGCAATTAGTAGTTTTTCTTTTCCTTCTTTTGTTTTACCGCAAACTTGTGCGTTTTTGTGGGCGTCTTTTCGAGCCTTTGTAAAAAATATTCAAAGTATGAAATGACAATTTTGTTATTTATACCTAATCCTTTTTCTTCAGTTCGTGCTTGTATACTTGTTGATCTTGTTGCTTGGTTGCCTTGGTTTTCTTAGCTCGAATAGGGTTAAACATATCTTTAGTTTAATTGCTGCCGAGGGTCAGCAGATGTTAGTTCAAATGAGGTCGAAACAAAACCTATGTTTGATCATGGTCGAGGGCCAGTAAATGTTAGTTCGAACGAGGTCAAACATATCATATGTTTATTTATGGTCGAGGGCCGGTTAGGTGTTACTTCGAAAAAGATTGAATATAACCTATATGGCCGAGGGCCAGTTAGGTGTTAATTCGAACGAGGTCGAATATAACCTATACTTAGCTATGGCCGAGGGCCAGTTAGGTGTTAATTTGAATGAGGTCCAATATAAACCTATACTTAGTTATGGTCGAGGGCTGGTTAGGTGTTAATTCGAACGAGGTCGAATATAACCTATACTTAGTTATGGTCGAGGTCCAGTTAAGTGTTAATTCGAACAAGGTTGAATATAACCTATGTTCAGTTATGGCCGAGGGCCAGTTAGGTGTTAATTCGAATGAGGTCGAATATAACCTATACTTAGTGATAGATGAGAGCCAGTTAGGTGTTAATTCGAACGAGGTCGAATATAACCTATACTTAGTTATGGCCGAGGGCCAGTTAGGTATTATTTAAACAAGGTCGAATATAACCTATACTTAGTTATGGCCGAGGGCCAGTTAGGTGTTAATTCGAACGAGGTCGAATATAACCTATACTTAGTTATGGCCGAGGGCCAGTTAGGTGTTAATTCGAACGAGGTCGAATATAACCTATGTTTAGTTATGTATGCCTCTAGGTCCGGCATTTGTCGACGTTGTGAACTTTAAGGCAACGTTGCCTTGGTTGTATATTTGGAGAAATAGAAATAAACTTCATGCACTTGTGCTTTGTTAATTCACTTGGAGAAATTTACATATTTTTCGGGCGTTGGCTAGCATTCCAATCCCAGTCCTAGTCTATCTAGTCCCTTCATTAGTCGACCTGGAGAAGTCTTGAGAGGTCGAGCAATGAACCAGCCGTCATGTGTTTCCATCTTTGCGCACTTCAACCTGAAGTGTCCCCTCCGGTACCTCATTAAAAACCTCCTTGAGAAAACCCAATTGGAATACAAGTGAGGCAAAAGGAGTACGACTGTGGGGATGTTTTATCTCTTAAAAGTTGAAGTACTTGAGGTGTTCAATATTCTAGTTGTTTGGTAGTAGCTTTCCTTCCATTGTTTCTAGTTGGAATGACCCTTTGTTTGATGCTGCTGTGATTTTGTACAGGCCGTCCCAATTTGTTCCTAGTTTACCTTCCCGTAGGTCTTTGCTCACTTGTGTTTTAGCTTTAAGCACGCAGTCCTCGACTTTGAGTGGCCTGATCTTTGCCTTTTTGTTATAATAGCATTTTGCTTGTTGCTTTTGGGCGATCATTTTACATAGGCCATATCTCTTCATTCTTTGACTTCGTTGAGCTCCTGCCTTCTGATTTCATCATTAATGGGTCCGTTTTCGTGGGGGTATCTTAGGCTGGGCTCCCCGACTTTAACCGGTATTACTACATCAGTCACATAGACCAATAAGTAAGGCGTCTCTCTTGTGCTCATCTTCGGCGTTATTGGCTTGGCCTAGAGTACTTCTGGTAATATTTTCGGCCACAACCCTTTGGCGTCTTCGAGTTTTTTCTTAATGATATTCAGTATCAACTTGTTGGAGGACTCTGCTTGTCTGTTGCCCACGGGGTGATATGGCATTGAGAGTATTCTTTTGATATGCCATTTTTCAAAAAGTTTAGCAACCTTTTTTCCTGCAAATTGGGGTCCGTTGTCGCAGCTGATCTCTTTGGAGGGGACTGCAATGTCACGCCCCGAGCCCAGGGCGAGACCAGCACCTAGTGCCTCATCTATCCTTGTGTACCACTTGCGACTAAGAGACTCTGAACATGTAATGTCATACTTTGGCTATGGGTCACATTACAAGATAATGTGCGATACAAAATATAAAACTAAATGGAGACAAACGCTGACTAATGCCAACATAAAGCTGGGCCGGCAAGTCCATCATAATTACTACAACTGACAAGCCAACAAAATATACGTACAGGGCCTACAAGCCAACATACTGCACTAACTGATAGGATATATCTACAAGCCTCTACTGATAGATGTACTGTGATCGGAACAGGGCCCCAATCTACCCATAACCTATCTACATATATACATAAGATATACACCACACTGTTAGACTCGGCAACTCCAAAAGAAGGGGAGCTTACCGATAAAGCTGAACTCGGACAACACCTACTGAGGAGGTCTACCCGTCTGTTTGTCTGACCTGCACGCATGAAATGCATCACCCCCAGAAAGGGACGTTAGTACGAAATAATGTACCGAGTATGTAAGGCATTATACTGAAGTTGAAACAAAAGTGATAATATAATAACTGAAACAACTGGGAGTCAAATAAAATCTGAAGATATGCTCATTTGCTTATACTGACTCAACTCTCTCNATATATATAGTTGTTCTGCCGTAGTAGGCTCGCTCATAGGCGCTCGGCCATATTAGGCTCTGTATATCGACCAATTGGGCTCTCTCATAGACGCTCGACCACAACAGGCTCGGTATATAATTTATCATCTGATCAGAGGTTGCCCAATAGAGGCTTGTCTATCGATTATAGCTCGATGGTAATGAAAATACTTTTAATACTGTATATATGTAAACTCTCTGCTCTTTTGACCAGAAGAAGGAAATACTCAACTGAATATGCAGTCCTGATAAGAAGAATATGTTAACTTACAAAACTAGAAAAATATATGTAATTTGCGAGACTAGCAAAATATACGTATATTCCGGGATACGAATTTTTCTTTATGCCTCGTTATAAAACTTGTATAATTATGATATCATGCTAAAATGAAGGAAAAGTTTAGCTTTAACATACCTGTTTCTGCGAAATATGAACGAAATTACACTTGAATTCCTTGAAATCTTGGACGAATTTGTTCTGCTTTGAACGTTCTTGAACTGAAGAATGGATTTAAGCATAAAAGTTGTTCCAACGTTTCTTGGTTTGAAATTTTAAGAAGAAAAACGTTTTTGATTCTTGAAGAACCATTTGGGTTTAAAATTGGAATTTTCTGTTTGAAGCTTCTTTAAATCTCATAAATGAAATTGCTTGCTTTAGTATAACTTTGGAACGTTAGTTTCCAAGTTCTTGATTTCAAGATATGACTTGAAGCTAGGAACAGATATTCTAATTAGATAAGATCCTCCAAGTCTTAGTCACTTTAAGCATAAGTCATATCTATATCTATATTATATTAAAAGGAAGGTAGTATGCATTGTGGTTAAGCCAAGTGGCAAGCTAAAATGAAGCCACTTGGCAATTTTAGGACAACATTAATTATTAAAAATTATAAATATAAATATAATTAATGAAAGTAGTTTAATGAATCCTATACATAATCTAAATAGATCTTAGACAAATCTAATCTATACATGTATATTTGTAACTATATGTATATCTATGTTTATATCTATGTATTGATCCACTCATAGCTTTTTTCCTATATTAGCTAGAAATATGGAAGTGAAAAATTAATTAAACATTAAAAAACTATAATAGAAAAAAATAAAAAATACAGAAATACGTAAATTGAGATAATCTATGACTATTTATATTTTGGAGTATGTTAAAATATAAAATAAAATTAAAATTTATTTATGATATTAAAAATTTATTGAGTATAAAAATTAAATAAAGTCAAGCAGCAAAATAAGATCTTACTCAATCTATATATATTATATTAAAAGGAGAGTAATGAAGCATGAAGTTAAGCTAAGTGGCGTATTGAGAAAAAGTCACTTAGCACTTTTATGAAATCTATTTGTTGGATTCTATTTGTATNCCACTTGGCACTTTTATGAAATCTATTTGTTGGATTCTATTTGTATAACATTGAAAAAAATATTATTCGATATTCTTTTGTATCTAATTATTAATTGGATAAAAAATCTGTTGGGAAAGAAAGATGAAATCGAGCTATCCGTGAACATATATTACCATATTTAGATTATATTATATATAAGTTCATGGTTTCCGTCAAAAAATTATTATTTGATGTTCTTTTGTATCTAATTAATAATTAATTTTTTTTGGTGGGAATGAAATATGAAATAGAGTTGTCCGTGAATATATATAACCATATTTGGAGTAATATTACATATGACAAATATTCTGTTGAAATATGAAATTAATACTTTGAGTTAATATGGGTAAGAGAAAAAGGTATGAAATATTCTGCTGACATAAAAATGGAAAGAAAAAATTCTTTCCAAAAACATGTTATGGAGCAAAGTCCAAAAATAAGTAAAAGAAAAAGATCATTGTGACATGACAATATATGATTACTCACACTTGCCATACAAATTTACAGGATCATCGATTTCTAAAACTATTAAGGATTTCTTTTATGGTAGGCATCCTTTTTCGAGAAAGAATCAATTATAATTTTATTTTGGATCTTACACATTAATTTTAAGTTGAAATAATAAATCTATATTTAGTACAAGCTTTGTATCTGACCTTATTTGCGAACAATATATATTAATATAGGTATCATATACATTACTATAAGTATCTTTAATTAAATTTTGTGTATAATTCAATTATGGTACGTATTCTTTTTCAAGAAAGAATTAATTAAATAAATATTTTGTCTTACGTCTATATTATGCTAAAAATAGACTGAAAAATTTAAGAAAGAATTAATTAAACTAAAATGTTCTCTTTTTAATGACCAAAGTAGAATCTTTTGGTCGTACACACAAAAAAAAGACACAATTTTCATTAAGCAGACCAATATACTATAATTATAGGTATCTTTAATTAAATTTTGTGTATAATTCAGTTATGGTAGGTATCCTTCTTTTTAGAAAGAATCAATTAAAATTTCGTTTTGTATCTTACACATTAATTTTAAGTTGAAATAATAATTCTATATTTAGTACAAGCTTTGTATCTGACCTTATTTACGAACAATATACATTATTATAGATATTTTTAATTAAATTTTGTGTATAATTCAGTTATTGTAGGTATTCTTTTTTAAGAGAGAAATAATTAAATAAACATTTTGTATCTTACATCTATATTATATTAAAGGAAATAATATTGAAAAATGAACAAGAGGACAAAGGAAAAAGACAAGAAAAATTAAGGCTTGGTGGTTAACAAATTTTAATTAACCACAAAAAAAAATGTTGAAAATTAAAATAAGCCAAAAGCTAAAAAAGGAAGATCCATATCATTTTTT